GGGGCCGGGGTGGCGGGCGCAGCCTGAAGAGCCGGTTGTAACCGTTTTTCAAGGCCGTGATGCACATCGGCAGCTGCGCTTAATTACAGGGCTAGGCGGAGCGCTTCGAGACTGGCACGGCACAATCGGTGGTCAAAATAGCAGGCAGCATTGCCAGGGCAGGTGACATGTATGCAGCCCAGGGGCTCCTTTGCCAGAGCCACGACGCAGCAGGGGTTGGCGAGCTTCACTGGTCAGATTCGTTCAAGGCAAGCTGATTCAGAGCCTGTTGTTGGCTGACAGCATACACCATTGGCTAAGCACAAGGTCGTGAAATGTACTGCAAGCCGCATGATCTGAAGCTGCCAGAGTCATTGTAAAAATACAGGATTCAGCTGCACTGCACTGCCAGGAGGTGTGTTGATTGAGGCCAAACATTCACCTGCGAGACCATGTGCGTGCATAATGAAATCTGTTCGTCACCTAAATTGCAGCAGCCCCGCGGCGGCTGTGTTGTCTGGCCTTTGGGGCCAGGCCCGTGCCGAAGTGCGAGCATGCGCGCTTGCCCAGTTGTGCTGGTTGTCGTGCATCTGCTTGCCACACCTCCCAGGACTGATTCGCTTTTGAGGGGGGTCCTAGAGAACGCAGACAGCGACAGGCAATACAACAAACTGCTGCTCCCCCATGCTTCTCAGATGAGAGCTGAAGCGCTTCACTACAGCCGTTTCCCGATCCGCCGTTCGTTTTGGCCGGCGCTTGTCTATACAGGTCCAGAACCCCAAGATCATCAGTTCCCAGCACCTGTCATCCCCACGTGGGGGTTGACAAGTGAGTGCACTCAACGCCGCCCACCAGTCCCCGGATAGACAAGCACTTGTTACATATGCAACGAAAACTTCCAAGTTCTGGCACAGCAATAGCAAGGATATGGATGTCACATCAGCTTCCCCCCCCCCCCTCCTCTGGGAACAAACGGTGCCGATTTGCAGAGAGCCTTATGATAGAAGTAGGCACAGGGATTTCAAGTTGTCAGGAATGTTGTCCGAGCAGCCCGCTGCTCCAAATTCCACAAGCCCGTCTATGAGCTTTTCATGCAACACGCCTGCTGTTTCACGAAAGTGTGATCAGTATCCCTGCAACTTTGCAACGGCCATGGTCACAGGTCCCGTTGTAAACTGGAAAGCACCTGCTTCCCTGCTCACTGGGGTTGGCATTCCTGTGGATTACCAGTCGCTGGGGGCCAGCCAGGCGCCCAGGGCGCTGTAGGTGCCGCCGCAGTCCTCGTCGCGCCCCCAGCCACTGCCGCCCCTGCGGGCCCCACAGCCCGTGGCGCCGGCGCGCTTGCAGCACCCGCCTTGGCCGCTACGGAAGCCGCGCTCCCACCGGTGCTGCACTGTGTGCTGGGGCGCCGGCACCTGCAGGTGCTCCGGCAGCCGCGGCACCCAGCCGTTCGCAATAGCATCCTCAACCTCATCCGCCCAGTTCACGATCTTGATCAAGATCGCTTCCCACTCGCGGTCAGCTGCGCTGGCAGCCGGCGCCCTCAGGGTGGTGCGCCCCTGGATGCGGCGCTGCTGCGGCTGCTGCTCGACCTTGCGCTGGGAAATGGTGTGCAGCGGCTGCGCCGCTTTGACCGGTGCCCTGGCCACGGCGTCTGTGTTGCCCGCACCCCTGGAGACGCGACGCCGGTCGCCGCCGTCGCTGTCACTGCTGCTGCGGCTGCCGCGGTGCAGACTGTTGCCCCCGGCTGGCGCGTGGACATCGCACACCGCTTGGCTGAACAGACTGCCGCGCGCCACTGGGCGGGGGCGCCTCGCCTCTGTGCTCGGGGCGCCTGCCGCCGGCGCCTGGGCGCCGGTGCTGCCGACAACCGGGAGGGCCTGCGATGCCGCCGGCGCCTGCCGGCGCTGCTCATGGTCAGAGTGGCTTGCTGTTGCCTTGACTGCGTCAATGGAAGCGCAGCGGGCAGACCCACGGGTAGACGTGGGTGCCGCGCCGCTGCTGCAGGAGCAGACTGCAGGGACACGCGGCTGTTGCTGCAGGGTGATGCTGACGAACACATCGCCCTCGTCGCTGGCACCGCCGCTGGCGGTGCTGGTGGTGCTGCTGGCCCTGCTGATGCTCTCGCCGCTGCGTGAGGCGATGGAGGTCGCAGTTGCGTGCCCTGGCGCGGCCGCCTGGGGACGGCCCTCATACGGCTGCTTGGGGAAGGCCGCCGCCGCGGCGGCCTTGTCCCGCACCTCCGCCTCGCGACCTTGCCTCACAGGAGAGTCATGGGGACTAGCATATGTCTGAGCGACGTCAGATTCAGTGGGCGATCGCCGACTGTGCCCCTGGTCGTCGCGGATGGGCGGCTCGTTGGGGATGGAAGCATCTGGTGGGGCGGCCAGTGCCGGCAACGGCGAGCGCCCCTGGCCCAACACGGGCCCGCGAAGGCTGGCTGCGGTTGTCGGCGCCGCCGACACTGGCACGGGTGGCTCCTTTGGAGCGTCGCTGGTTTGGGCGGGTCTGTGACTGGGGTTGGCGGCGGGGGTGCGGTAGTCGTCCGAGGACGACACGGTCGATGGCCGTCCGAAGCAGCCAAATATGGACGCGATGAGGCCACTGAGGGAGCCGCGCCTGCAGGAGAGGAGATGCGTTGTGGATTGGGATGTTTTTATACACAGATGGCCCAGATCCAGGGAGAGGCCAGGGGCCAACAAGCTGCTCGAGCAGGAAGCAGCACAGCAGGCGGCGCACGTGTGCGCAACCGCCTGGCGGGACTCACGCCCTACCCTTCAACATCGGCAAACAAAACATTGTTTCATCACCCGTAGTGCCCTTGCTTGCGTCAAGTACACCCTACAGCGCAGCGACCTCCGTTGCCATGTCACCCCCCCCGGGCCTGTCAAAGCGCGGTGGATCTATCTCATGGGTGTATATTCAATTCTTAAGGTATCTTACCTATCTCTGGCGCGCTTTTGTGGCCTCTGAACCTCTATAGCGCCCTCCTCAGCCACCGCTGTCAGCCTGCGCTCGGCCGACTGCTTCGGACGCATTCCGAAGAGCGCCATGGACGAAACTAAAAGTATTACTAGGTCTCGTGACGCCATTGTGTAGGAATCCGGTGCTGTCACGACGCTGGTATGCGTGTGACGGGTGGACCTTGTCAAAACGTAAACCTGTGTGGGTGGCTGTGTGTTTATTCAAAGGGGTGTTGGAAAATTTGGTGCAGTGGATTCCTGTTGATTGTTTCAGCCCAAGCTTGCTGGCATGAACGTGGAATCTGCACTGTCGACCGCCTGCCCAGCTCCTTCCAGTTCCTTGCTGCGCCGCGGAACCAAGGGGCGACGCCCTGCCTTTCCCACTTTGCACCCCTAAAACCTCGTAGTTTGCGCATGAAATTGTCTGCGGGAGCGCTGTCGCAGTGAACAACTACACCCTTGCATGGCAAATTGGACGGGGGGGGGGGGGTGCCGTCTGCGACAGGACCTGCGTGGTTTTGTCGCACACACGCATCCAATGATAGACTTGACGTGGTACCACTTGGGGTGGTTGAGTGTCTGCTCAAATGTCCTACCGTGGCCAACCGCTCATGACGCTCCAAGTCTGGGAGGTCCGGTCGATTCGACTCGTCAGCAATGACGACCAGGTGCTGCCCCCCCCCCCTGTTTGCCTTGTTCAACTGCCAGTTCCGGCCTGTCATTGAACCCCAGGGGGTGCAAGCTGCCCATCCCAATTTGTGTAGGGTGCTGCCAGGCATGTGCGCGCAAACCCATCAAGCTGCAGTGAGCAGCTGCCCTGCTGGCTTCCAGTCAACTGAGCTGCCATGCCAGCATGCCAGAGATGGGCACCTGCATGTTGCCTTGCATTGACATATCCAGTGGGTTGTTGCATGTCTACAGGCACAAGTTTGGCCCTGACCCGTTGCATGCTGTTGATGAGGGCGATGCCTTACTCACACCGACGGCAAAATCACCAGCGCGTGCGTGAGATGCGCGACAGCCCAGCCAGCAAAAAATGACCGACACGGCAGTTCACAAAAAACTCAACCACGGAAACTGGAGCGGGCGGTGCAGCGTGTGCCGGGTTGGTTGCAAAACTTTGAAGTTGTCGCAAGTGCTCAGCTGGCGTCAAGGTGTCTGGCGCAGAGTGTGCTGCAAAGGGGGCGGGCCTCGTTGCCCGTTCGCCAAACGGCCAAATTCATTCTGCTGCAGTCCATGTGACAGCCAACCGCTCCGTGCTGCCAAAACGATCAAAACGGCAGAGGCGGAGCCCGCGCGGCGGGGCCCCGGAGCCCTGGATTGTGAGCCCAGGATGCCAGGGTCGAAGGATCATTGCCCAGATCACGGCTGGGGGTCCGCGCTCTTGGTGGACTTGCGCGGCCGGCCCGCGCCGCTCCTGCGGCCGCCC